GATTGAATTTCTGGCTCTATCATTGCCTTACTGAATACGTTTGAGAAAGCACAAAATTTTCTCACTATTTATAATCTTATAATACTCATTATTACTGAGTACACAATAAAAATGACAGTAACACCTTGAATGTATGGCCTCTAAGTAGTTAGAAGCATTTCTTATGAATTATTTATTTATTCAATATCCCTTTGGGGTAGGCTTGCATTATTTCTTCTAGTTGGTAATGAAGAGGGAGATATAGCCTTTCCTGTCATGATGTCAAAATACTGGTTGTGAGATGGTTGCCTACTTCACAGAATGTCATGAAGATTCATGAAACTGTCTGAGGCTTTATGCTCTCAGGAGGGAAAAAAAATGAGTTATATATGGTAGTTTTACAGCTCTTATTCATCTGATTTCTTAATAATTCAAAGTATTTGGGGGTGAAAATGTGTACAAATTATTTCAGGCCAGGTACAGTGGCTCACGCCTGTAATCCCAGCACTTTGGGAGGCTGAGGTGGGCAGATCACTTGAGGTCAGGAGTTCGAGACCAGCCTGGCCAACATGGTGAAAGCCCATCTCTACTAAAAATATAAAAAAATAACTGGGCATGGTGGTGCATGCCTGTAGTCCCAGCTACTGGGGGCGCTGAGGCAGGAGAATTGCTTGAACCCGGGAGGCAGAGGTTGCAGTGAGCCGAGATCGCACCACTACACTCAAGTCTGGGTGACAGAGTCAGACCCCATCTCAAAAAATAACAACAATAACAAAAATTATTTCAATATTCAGTATTCAATATTCAATATTCCTGGATTTTTTTCTCCATATTTTTCTGGAGACACATTTGTTTTTCCACACCCACTCAAACCGTCTGTGTACCAGGCAAACTTTCTGAGATGCAAAACCAAGTAAAGTATGTCCATTTTATTTGTTTAGAAAGGATATGACTAATGATACTGTGGGAAAAAATGGTATAGTTAATAAAAATTGTATCCTCTGTATGAGCAGCTAGAGAAGCCTAGCAGGTGTGGCCACACAAAGCCATAAGGTGTCAACACCTGTATTGAGGATAGGTGTCAACACCTGTACTTTAGAAACCAACCCTCCAAAGAACTCACACAAGAAGCAGAGTCAGTGTCTACCTAGGATCTGGAGGCAGCCCCTGTGAAATGGGATTTTTTTTACCACCATCAAATGGTGAAAATTTTTAAAACGTGTCCAATTTTGAATGCTATAACCCTATAATATATCAATGTTTGCTTTACATAATAATGTTTAAATGTATTTGCCATTAATTGAATAGACATTTTTAGGAGGATGGACCATATTTGTTATTGCTTTGAAACACTCTGTAGGACACCAGCATATACTCTCAGGGTTACTTTTACCCCAGTTTGAAACGCACAGGGTCCTAGGACATTGCAGCCCAAATCATGGGATTTTTGTTAGCATTTAAGAGAATCCGTCCACATGTCCCCTTTTTATTTTGCTACACGTAAACTCCTGAAAAATTATTTTGCCTGGCATGCTAATGAAATCTTTAAAATGTAGCTCTAAACACCTAATTGGTAGCATTTTCACAGTCAAGATGATTAAGGATTATAAATCAGCTTCCTCAAATAGAGATTATTCTGTTTGAGGAAAAAGATCTTTCTGAGGTGAGAATTGCCTATCCTGTTCTCTCTTTAGATCTCATTAAAATTGGAAACCAAACTAAGGAGTTATACAACTTGAGACTTTGTGTGTGTGTGTGTGTGTGAGCATTTTGAAAATATGATCAAATAGAAAGCTGGTCATGCTCAGACATGAGTACAAGAAGTGACTTATTTATACATTCAAATTTCAAAATATTTGTAAGGCCTACCATGTGTGCTGCTAAAAGGTTTTTAATTTAAAATTATTTTGTTAGATAATCCTGTTTCAAGTGACATTATGATTTATCGCCACTAATCAACATTCTGATCCCTCATAGACTTCTTGTTTGTATCTGTTTTTGTTCTTTGTTACATAAATATGAGCTTTATATATAAAATTCTGACTGTGTAATATAGGGCTAATGAGTCACAGATGGAAAGATGCTGGCACATTACCATCTAATAACATTTTAAACTCATATTCCATAGTAAAACAAAAGCAAATTGTATACATCTGTTTTCCAACTTGTAGCATTTCTGAATTTATGCAGAATCTATATTTAAAGGACTTGTATTTAGAGAGAAGAAAAAGAGGACATAGGTCACCTCAAAACTACGGAGCCACTTAATAGCCTTATCAGAACGGACTTGGCAAAAGATAAGATTTTCTCTGTTTTGCTTCCTGAGAAGTTGTAGTCCTGAAGACTGAGAATCAAAGGCATTAGAGCTGAAGAAGTGTCTTCAGACTACAAACTAATTTTTCTGCCTTTCTTAAAATGAAAAACATATCTCTAATGTGAGGGATGTGGGGGGTGAAATATTCACAAAACTAATAAAACTAAAAATGTAGAAATTTCCTGGGCTTTCCTAAAAATATCTGCAAGATAAATTTGGGTGGGAAGAGAGCGAGCCCAGGCCATGTATTGCTGTGGTTGTTGTTTATTTTATTTGTATGGTAAACTGGTAAACATGTTCTCTGTGTGTGTGTGTGTGTGTGTGTGTGTGTGTGTGTGTTTTGGAAAAAAAAGGAATAAAAGGCTTGAGTTTCACATGTTCTTAGAAAAGAAATAGAACAAAGGCAAAATTTCTCTCTCAGACTTAACCAATTGATAACGCCTGTGAGGAGGAGTTAGTACAAGTTATTGAAGAACGAGTCTCTAAAACATCTCTCCGTATTCTCAAGGAATTCAAAACTGCTTTTCTGCATTAAGGGGTTGTGTGAACTGTCAAGTTCTTTCGGAAAAGTTATGTGACAGAAGTGATTACTGCAGAGTGTGACCATAAATCCCCCTGACATGAAATACACATGTTATAAGAGACAGATTTTCATCCACCACCTCTGCGTGAATTCCTGAAACAGGAGAGTTCTAAGATCCATCATATGATTGGAGAGAGAAAGTTTGATATGTGGGTGGCAAGACTGTATTTTGTGAGGTGTACTGTGTTTATTCTGGGGAATAAGTATGATCTGATGGCAAAATTTTGTTCCCCGTTGTTGTCCAAAAAAGAATTAATACATGTATTGTATATCCTGAGCTGTAAACAGAATGTAAATGGAGGGAAATTACAGTGTGGTTTTCATAACAGTGTCTATAGTTATCTCCATTTTGTACTAACATTTTGTAATTAAGATGTTGTAATTTTGTAAGATTCCAGAAATGCTCCATGTAGCAAACTCTTTACACCGTGTAGACACAGATCCCGTTGTACCTGCCCCAGGCTCAGTGACCATGAGATCTCAGTTTCCCCATTCCATGCTTTAGGAAATTATTGGTTTGACTAGGCATGATGGTTTATGCCTGTAATCCCAGCACTTTGGGAGGCCGAGGCGGTCAGATCACTTGAGGGCAGGAGTTTGAGACCAGCCTGGCCAACATGGTGAAACCCAGTCTCTACTACAAATACAAAAATTAGCTGGACATGGTGGCACATGCCTGTAATCCCAGCTACTGGGCAGGCTGAGACAGAGAATCTCTTGAACCCTGGGGACAGAGGTTTCAGTGAGCTGAGATTGTGCCAGTGCACTCCAGCCTAGGTGGCAGAGCAAGACTCCGTCTCAAAAAAAAAAAGGAAAAAAAAAGTCTGGACATGGTGGCTAATGCCTGTAATCCCAGCACTGTGGGAGGCCGAGGTGGGTGGATCACTTGAGGTCAGGAGTTGGAGACCAGCCTGGCCAACATGGTGAAACCCCGTCTCTACTAAAAATACAAAACTTCACTGGGCGTGGTGGCGCACGCCTGTGATCTCAGCACTAGGGAGGCTGAGGCAGGAGAATTGCTTGAACTCGGGAGGTGGAGGTTGCAGTGAGCCTAGATCAGGCCACTGCACTCCAGCCTGAGCAACAGAGTGAGACTTCATCTGAAAAAAAAAAAAAAAGGTTTATTTTGGGGCCTCATGTGTCTAATTTTGTTTATGGTGTGTCAGATGAGGCAAGACTTAGAACCAGGGAAGGGAGGCGCTAGGTATGTGCTTGTTTTGTTTGTCCCCCAGTGAAATGTCTGTGTGACGTTTTATGTCGTGTTGTTTTGGTGCTGTGCTACGTCCATAGGGCCTGCCAGGCTTCCCCACAGTTGCTGCCCTGCACAGTAATCAGATCCTCACCGTCAAGGTTTGTGGTTGTTACTCATGCCTGTGTAGTCAGAAATGCAATCAGCATAAGCGTGAGCAGGAACCATTCAATTGGCTTACCGAGCCCGTTGGCTTCCTCTCATCATATATGTCAAGTTACTGGGCACTTGGGACCCCACTTGCATCATTGAGGTCAAATGTCTATTAAGAGGGTGTATCCTGAGCATACTTGAGAGGAGGATATTGACGTCAAACAGGTACTGTGAAGAGAGGTGGGCATAGCGATCTAAAACCATGCCATGCCTTGATGGCTTAATTTGTATGCATTCTAATGCTCTGTAATATTTTTCCAGTCAATTAAATAATCCTAAGTACTCTCTCTGGACTTCGGGTGTCAATAAAATGGCAGTCAAGTTCACGTCACATTATGCTGGTTGACAAGTCTGATGGAAATGGAACTGGCATTTTGTCTCTAGACTTTCTGCTCAGAGTGAAGAATGCAGGGGTGCACCTGCTTACCTGCTTCTGGGAATAAACTACATTAAAAAGATCCAACGTCCACAGTGAAATGATAAAGCACAAAAAATGTTCATTACCACTGAAGATCTGGTCTCAGCATCGCATTTCAGGATGATATTTCTTTCGAGAAGAATCAGTGGGTCTAACGTTAGACATAAGTGCCAGTTCTATTTTGTTTAATAATCATTATAAGTCTAATGTGTATATCTTTATTTCTTTCTTGGGGCCTTCTGATGTCTATTCTTCAACTCTCTCATCTCTGAACTTCAACCTTTGACCTCACCTGACTGATCAGATGGTGTTTCCTAAAATCAATCATGGGTTTCTCTCTGCTGATCAGCAGCTCATTAAACGCCGCCTGATTAAGGTAGTGCTTATTCTTGCTGAAGTCTGATTTCTTCTTTACATCGGTTATTGCTCTGTATACCTATTGCTTTACCGTTTATCTCTGATGGGTGGGGTGTGGGCGGTGGGTGGGTATTTATTTGGAAATATTCTCAAACAAAATTACATTTAGTCAGCTGCATTTGTTTGAAATGTTAGATACAAGTACCAAAAAAGATACTAAAAGCCTATCTAATTTTTTCTTAATTAAAAAATTTTAAATTGTAGCTACTAACAGATCCAGTTTCTAAGCTCTCTAGCTTTGGTAATTTATAAATTATTATGCAATATGATGGGAGCCTCATATGCTTAATTTTATAGGGTATGAAAAAGTAAACACATTTGTCTAACTATAAAGGCAGCCATTTTATTAAATGAGGTGAATACAACTGATGCAGTGTTATGGATAAAGTAATTCACACATTTTATACCAGCTCTGACTGTAGTGGTAACATATACACTATTTCAAAGAATGGAAGTGCTGGTTCCTGAGCTGCTTTGATTTTAATAGCATCTACTCAGTCACCCAGCATGAATATTTATTTGCTCCCTGCTGGGAGGCAAATTGCCTACAGGCTTTATATTTGTGGTTGTTCTGGTTCTTTTCATAGTGTAAATGTGGATCAGATAATGCAAATTTAAGGTGCTGAAAAGAAGACCTGAGTCTTTATCTTTCATGGTTATTGCTGGTCTGTTCCTTTCTCCATCACAGGGTGACCAAGGACAGGCAGGGCCTCCAGGACCCCCCGGCCCTCCAGGCCCAAGAGGGCCACCTGGGGACACAGGGAAAGATGGCCCCCGTGGAATGCCAGGAGTACCTGTGAGTCACTTTTTAGATCACTTATTCTCACACGTTTTGTTTCGTGTTAAGGGCTGAGAACTAGGGTGGAGCAGGGTGGTGAGGGGCATCAGGTCAGGGGGTCAAGTGAGTGGAGTGGGTTGAGGGAAACGGGATGATGAGTGGAGTGGGTTGAGGGAAGTGAGATGATGGGAAAGTCCCCAGGCAGCATAGGGCGCTCCCAGCTGCATTCCTCTTTACCACTTAATCCACTGGGGATCCAAGCAAACCACAAGAGACACCTGGAGGCAGCCACTAAACTGTTTTTGAGGGAAGCCTCAAGAAGTCTGTGATTGGAGTTGCCCAATCCCAGGTGTAACCTGACTGCCATAGTGTGCACCGGGGCCTTTGGTTTAAATGGGAGATTAGTCTGAAAAACTAAGTAGGAGGCTAATAACATTTTCCAAAGGATCAATAGCAGACCAATAAAGTCCTATACTATTTATGGAAAGTAGAGGAAGTAAAATGTTCTAATATTTATTCCCTTATAAATAACTTGAACCCCCAAAATTGCTAATAACCGTAAAATGAATGATTAAAACATCAGTGGGTATGGTTTAAATATCATTTGTCTTTTGTATGTAAGGCTTATTCATAGAAATAATTTTAAAGTAGTCTCAATACTTGGCTACAAAGATTGGTCAAGTGTCAATGATATAGTAGTAAAACACAGAAGATAAATGGTTTGGTTTCAGAGGCAACCCAGCAATTAAAAGAAATATATGGAAAAGGTCAAAAATTTTAGATTTATTTTATGACTTTAGGACTAGAAATTAAGGTTTATTACTGGATTAAATTATTTATTAAGTGTATTTATTTAACAAATTATTTTCATAGTATTTTTGTGGTACATAATAATAATGAAAATATTTATCCACAAAGCAGAAAATTTTGAAAATAAAACCAAAAAAATAAATAATTACAATACTCATTAATGTTTTGGTATATTTTCTTTCATTTTTATATGCATATATTTATGCATTTTTAGAAATAATGACTCTTTATAAGAATATAGCATACTTTAAAACTTCTGAGACAGCCTCATAAGCCCGTGTCCTTTTCTGAAAGCTGCTGTGAATTTGTTGATATAAAATGTGGAATTGTCTTTCAACATATGATTTGCTAGTTGTTAGGACTGCTTTCACTCAACCTCCAAAGACAGTGGTTGAATTCTATAGCTGTCTTCTAATGCCTTGCTTTTTCTCATGATGATATTCCAAAAGGCAGAGAGATCCACAGCTTTAGGGATATTTAAAGCTCTCCCATTGATTGCTGGTTGCCACAGAAATACAATGGGTGTCTCTTCAAAAAGTAGTTAAAACCATTTTGATGGTACATTAGTCAGATCATTGAGCATTATATTCTATACTCAAATTCAAGATATAAATTACTTTTAAAAAATTTAAAGGTATGACAAACCACATAATCCAAAATTATATCATTCTTTAAACAAATATAGTTTATTCATGTAAGTAAGAAATGGAGCTTTCTACACATAGGACAAATTAACTTGTTTTAAAATTTTCAAAAATATAACTTGAACTATATATGGTCTCAGAGTTTATTTATATGTACTCTGATGACTGCTAGAGAAAGATTTCTTTTTCTTTTTTTTTTTTGAGATAGAGTCTCGCTCTGTCATCCAGGTTGGAGTGCAGTGGCGTGATCTCAGCTCACTGCAACCTCTGCCTCCCGGGTTCAAGTGATTCTCCTGCCTCAGCCTCCTGAGTAGCTGGGACTACAGGTGCCTGCCACCACACCTGGCTAATTTTTTTGTATTTTTAGTAGAGACGGGGTTTCACCATGTTAGCCAGGATGATCTGGATTTCCTGACCACAGGTGATCCGCCCACCTCGGCCTCCCAAAGTAAAAAAAGATTTTTTTGTGTGCAATGAGGTCTTTGCTGTGTTGCCCAAGCTGTAGTGCAGTGGCTATTCACAGATGCCATCATAGCACACTATAGCCTCAAAGACCTGGACTCAAGCAGTCCTCCTGCCTCAGCCTCCCAAATAGTTGAGATTACAGGCATGTGTCATCATACCTTGCTAGAAGAAGACTATAAAAATAAACTGTGAAATACTTATTTTGAAAGACCAGCAATATCTATATTCATTGGCATTTTAAGACAAAAAATATTTTTAGCCAATGACTGTCATTATAACAATAAAATATGATAATTCTATATCAATCTGAATATAAGAAAATGATAATGTCATGATATAGTGTAATTTTCTGTATCAAATTTAATAAAACGTGTTACTTCAGCCATCATTAATCTAGGAAGACCAAAGTTTAACATCAGTCTCTGCTCATTTTATTAAACACCTGTACTAAGAGCAATTGTCTCTCTGTCCTATGTATGAAAGTTCTGAGTTCTCATAAAGACACCATGTCCTTATCTTTATGTCATCCTAAAGAAGACATGATAATCTAGACTAATTTTATTAAACCCTAAATTTGTAAAGTTTATTTGTAGAAGGGAAATTAGCTCTCTTTTAATGTGCTACATTCCTCTATTTAACCTGAAGAAATATACTTGACATTTACATGCCCCAGTCAAAGAAAAAAAATGATTGAAGGGTTTTTTAAAAATACTTACAGCATTACTAAAATTATCACTATTCTTTTTTAAGGGTGAACCAGGAAAACCAGGAGAACAAGGCTTGATGGCAAGTATCTCAATTTATCTTTTTCTATACTAAGCCAGGTTGTTTAAAACTATGGTCAAGATTATGTGTGACAAATGTATCTGTCATATGACAGACTATAATAAAAAGGTGAAAATTAGTAAAAGTTAAAAGTAATATGGCCTATCTACTACATGCTAAGGGTCATAAGACTACATATCTACATTGCTGATGCAGGAGAAAAAGAAAGAGATTCCAGGTGTGGGGAGCGACAGAGATGCTGCAGGCCAAAGGAGAGAATTAATTAAGTGACTCTGCTGTAAGAGAGATTAAATTTAGGGGCATGCCTATTAGCTTAAATAGAAATGGAAATCCCATTTTCAAAGGGATCAGGTCTGACTAAATGAATTCGCACAGGAAACTTTGCACAGTGATTCAGAGTTTTTCTACCATTGAACATCTCTATCCAGAGAAAAATTGCTGTGCCTTTTGGTTCTCTGTCATTTAAAAACAAACAAACAAACAAACAAAAAAGGTCCTGAAATGATTCCACATGGACTTACTCATAGACACACAGGTCCCAGTTCCCCATGATTTGTTTATCTTTTGCTGGTAGAAAAGATGTTTGGTTAGGAATTCCTTCAACCTACCTCTTCCTGTCCCCTCCTGTCTGTCTCCTGAACTGCCTCTCTAATGTGTTACGATGTGAACACTGTTGGGAAGCACAGGGTAATTCTCTAATAACCCAAATGCCAGAAGAGGGCTCACACTCATCCTGGATACTGAAGGAGTGGGCCCAGAGAGTGCCGGGTTGCCAACAGGTGACCACAATCAGTTTGACACTGTCCATCCTGCATAATGTTAGGCTGGGCACGGGGGTTCATACCTGGAAACTTAGCACTTTGGGAGGCCAGGGAGGGGAGGATCACTTGAGCC